AATTGGATCTCCAGCTGTCGCACGAGGCCTCCAGGAGTGGTCTCCGAAGGAGACGGCGGAGGGAGCAGGAGAGGCGGGCAGAGACCGATAGATCCAACGGCCTGAAAACTCGTGAGTGCCTGCTGCTTTCGAAGAAGGATCACTGGTCAGAGTGAGGGGGCCGCACGGTCATTCATTGTCCATGGGCGCGTGGCTGAAGTGGGGATCTACGGTGAAGATTGTTGTTGAGTCTTAACTGCGAAACAACCATTATTGTTGGCCCCCCTACAGGCGCCCTGGCGCTTTTGCCTCTGCGCCGGCTGAGTTTCATTTGACAAGTCGGTTCACGCTCAAGCGTTTCGGGGCTGCGCCCAATCTGGTCCCCAATGACAAAACAACAACAGCAGCAGCAGCAACAGCAGCAACAACAACAGCATCAACAATCATGTTAGGACCCTTCTCTCCTACTTGCTCGCGTGCCACTCAACACGTATATTCTAAACCCTCGATGCCCGCCCTCTTCTTCTTCGATTGCTCCCCCCGTGGGGGTATATCTCCCTTAGCTGCAACAACGTGTATTTCGTGCAGCCCCTAGGCAGGGGAAGAGAGGACGGATGGAAGGAAAGGAAAAGATGTAGGGAGGTAGCAGAAGGGGGATAGGACCAGAACGCACGTGGCAGCACCACACGGGCAGACTGGGCAAGGAGACCCTCTCGGGCGGGCCGGGAAGGTGGGCCCAGGCGGCCAGGTCGAGCAGGCGGGTTGCTGAAGCGTGCGTCCTGCATGAATCGCGAGGAAGCTTCGAGCGGTGGCGCGACTCCCAAGTAAAATGAACGAAATTCACAACGAGTGCGTGATTCCTGAATGTCGAGGGCGCGGCGTCTGAATACATTGCGAGGAAGTCCCACGCGAGAGTGCAGCTCTTGTATAAACAGTGAGGAATTTCCGCGCAAGAGCACGATTTGGGAATACGCTGCGAGGAAGTATCAGGCGGGAGCCGCTGTTGTTGTGATGCGGGGGCCAGGGGCCCCGTCACCCCAAACTGTCCCTTGATAAAACCCGGGTGCGAACCCCAGGAGGAGCATTGTGATGGAATCTATACATATATATATATATATATACCGCAGGGGGACACTTCAAACACAATAAGCATAACAATCACAACAATGGCAACACCAACAATCATCTCAATATTGTTCCCTCTTATGTGCCCGCGTGCCACGCAATACGTATACCCCAAACCACCGATACCCGCCCTCTTCGTCTTCGATTGTGCCCCCTGAGGGGGTGATTTTTTTTTTTACCAGCAGCGTGCATTTCATGTAGCCCCTACGGCAGGTGAAAACAGGACGGATGGAAGGGAAGAACAAGATGGAATGAGGAGGATAGAGCAAGACAAGGAGTAGCAGGAGGGGGGTGGGAACAGAAAACACGTGGCACAACCAGACTGGCACATCGGGCGGGTAAATTTTCACGGGCGGGCCGGGACGGCGGGCCCAGGCGGCCAGGTCGAGCAGGCGGGTTGTTGAAGCGTGAGTCTTGCATGAATCGCAAGGTCGTGAGTCTCAAGCGATAGCGCGATTCCCACGTAAAACATAAGTGAATCCATTGCGAGAGCGGGATATCTGAGTGTCGAGGGCGTAGTGTCCGGCATAAGTTGTGAGAAGGTCCTACGCGAAAGCGCGATCCTTGCATACATTGTGAGGAATGCCCGCGCAAGGGCGCGATGTTGGAAATAACCTGTGAGGAAGTATCAGGCGGGAGCCGTTGTTGTTGTAACTCGGGGGCCAGGGGCCCAGTTTGTTGACCCATTCCCCTTGCTTTGTAAAGAAACAGGCTGCGAACCCCTGGACGGGGCATGTACATGAACAAAAACACAACTTGCCCACGATGGGGGATCAACTGTATTAATTCTTCAGCCGTGAATGTTCAACCACAACAACAGGAGCATCAACAGCAGCAATACCACCAGCAACCACACAACAACAACAGCAATACCACCACCACCACCAATCATTATAATGCTGCTTCCTCTTACATGCTCGAATGCAACTCAACATGTGTATCCCGAACCCTCGGTGTCCGCCCCCCTCGTCTTCGATCGCACCCCCCTCCTGGGGACATATCTTCCTTATCTGCCGCGTGTAATTGGTGCAGCCCCTGAAAGAGGGGAAAAGAGGACGGGTGGAAAAGGGGAAGGAGAAACACAGCAGGATGGGGGCAAGAAGCAGGAACCAAGTTGTAGAACCAGACGCGCAGATCGGGCGGGTAAACCCTGACTGGCGGGTCGGGCAGGCGGGCCCAGGAGACTAGGTGGAGAAGGCGGAGGGAGTTTCGAGCGATAGCGCGATTCCAACAAACATCGTGGGAGAGGCCAATGTGAGAGCGTGATTCTTGAGCGCCGAGGGCGCATCGTCTGAATAAATTGCGAGGAAGTCCTACGCCAGAGCGCGATTCCTACATTCATAGTGAGGAAGTCCCGCGCGAGAGCGCGATTCTTCAATAAACGGTGACGGAGTATCAGACTGGAGCCGTTGTTAATGCAAACCAGGGGCCAACAATTTGATTAGGAGTTCCAGGACTCCCTGGCACAAAAAAACAGGGTGCGGGCCCCGGGAGGAGCACTTCAATTGAAAAAACATTGTGCCCCAGAGGGGGGTGATCAATTAATACTTCTTTAGAAATGAAGGCTCAACAACCACCACAACTGCAACAACAACAGCAACAGCAGCAACCATAACAACATCAACAGCAGCAGCAGCAACAACACCAGCAACAGCAGCAGCAACATACCAACAACTGCAACAACAACACCAATAACAATTATTCTAACACTGTTTGCTTCTAACGGCTCGCGTGCCACTCAACACGTTTATTCCGGACCTTCGGTCCGCGCCCTCTTTTTCTTTGATTCTTCGATCGTGCCCCGTTAGGGGCATGTTTTCCTTAGTTGCCACGTGCATTTAATGCAGCCCCAACAAACAAAGGAAGAGAGCACGGATTGACGGGGGAGGGGGAAGGATGGAGCACGAGAGGAATTAGCAGGAGGGGGAACCAGAGGGGCAGATCGGGCGGATACTTCCTGACGGGCGGGTCGGGAAGGCGGGCCCAGGCGGCCAGGTCGAGCAGGCGGGCTGCTGAAGCGTAAGTCTTGATAGCGCGATGTCCAAGGACCTCGCTCGTACAGCCAAATCGAGAGCGAGAATCCTGAGTGTCGAGGGCGCTGTGTCTTTATACAATGCGAGGAGGTCCCACGCGAGAGCGCGATCCCTGCATAAGCTGCGAGGGCGCCCTGCACGACAGCGCGTTTTTGGAATACAGCATGAGGAAGTATAAGGCGGGAGCCGTTGTCGTTGTTGTTGTTGTTGTTGTTGTTGTTGTTGTTGTTGTTGTTGTTGTTGTTGTTACTGTTGTTACTGTTGTTGTTGTTGTTGTTGTTGTTGTTGTTGTTGTTGTTGTTGTTGTTGTTGTTGCTGTTGTTGTTGTCGTTCCAAGGCCGGGGGTGTAGTCTGAGCAGGTTCCCCAGGGCCCGTGCTTCGTCTCGAGTCGCTCGTGTCGACGGCCCCGCTCCCCGGGCGAGGCGGCGAGGGCCCCCCCGGAGGCCGAAGACGGCCACACGCCCGCCCTTCCGACTCTCTCTTGGAGCGCCAGGCCTCCGGTCTCCTTGGGCGGAGGCCTGCCGGCCCGGCCGCGCGCGCGCCGCGCGCGCCGCGCGCGCGCGCGTCCGCGGGGGCTCCTCCTCCTTTTCCTCCTCCTCCCCCTCCTCTCCTCCACGTGCTCCTCATCCTCCCTCTTCCTCCTCCTCCTCCTCCTCATCGCCTCCTCCTCCTCTCCCATCCTCTCCTCTCCTTCCTATCCTCCTCCTCCTCCTCCTCCTCCTCCTCCTCCTCCTCCTCCTCCTCCTCCTGGGCCATGGCGGCGGCGCGGCGCGGCCCCGCGCCCACGTGGGACCAGCGCCACTCCCTCCGCCCGCCCCCGTACGTGGGCGCCATGCGGCGGCAGCTGGAGGGGCTGGCCATCGGTCGGCGGCGGGGGTCGGAGAGGAAGGACGGGCTGGCCTCGTGTCGGGCGTGTTTCCCCCTTGCAGGGGGGATTCTCGACGAGAAATAAAACAAAATACCCCAAAACGTACCCCAAACAGGTTGAAGAATACCCCCAGAAAAAGTCCCCAGACCATGTTTGGATTCATTTTGGGTTATTTTTGATGCATTTGTTCTTATGTTTCGTCGAAGATCCCCCTGTAGGGGGACAGGCCCGACTACAGGGGGATTTTCGACGATCAAAAAATAAAAAATACCCCAAAAGTACCCCCAACAGTTTGAAGAGTACCCCCAGAAATAGTCCCCAGACCATGTTTGGATTCATTTTGGGTTCTTTTTGATGTATTTGTTCTTATTTTTCGTCGAAGGTCCCCCTGTAGGAGGAGGGGCCCGACTTAAAGGCGGCCATCGGTCGACGGCGAGGTTGCCGTGCTCAGCCGTTCCACCAGAAGAAGGAGAAGCAACTGCACAAGCGTGAACTGGTGGCGCTCCGCTCGGATGTCTTGGCTCTGCTCGGGCCGGGCGAAAGGGGGGGACTGGGAAAGGGAGGGGTTACGAAATTTGCTGCATGCAGCTGGTTTCGGCCCCACCGAGGGGCCCATTCCTCGATACATAGCCGCCTCTGGCGCCTGGAGGCGCCGGGAAAATCAGCTACGTGAGCTGATTCTCAAACCCCCCCTTTACTATCCCCCCCTTTTGCCCGACCCGATCTGCGCTGAAGCCCCTCGCCGTGGAGGGGTTCCAGCGCAGAGCCAAGACATCCGAGCGGGGCGCCACACGCTCCTGCTAGTGCAGCTGTTTTTTCTGCTTCTGGGGGCACGGCTGAGGACGGCAGCGCCGTCGTCGATCTCAGGCGTCCTCGAGCCGTTCGAGTAGGAGATCGACCACAGGATTGAGATGGCCCAGACTTGATTCGATTCTCCGTCGAATCTACAGACCTACAAACGTCGACGGAGGAATCCATTCGGGGTTGGTCAGTTCTGTAGTCGATCCCCTACTCCCGCCGTGAAAGAAGCAGGGCGAATGGTCTTTGGCCGTGTTCGGCCTTCGGAGGCCCTCCCTGGACCCCGGGACCGTCAGAAAACGGCCGGGGATGAAGGACGGGTCCCCTGGAAGGGGTGCAGATCCCTGGGTGGCCACGCCGTCACAGAATCGGGACGTCGGATGGCTGGGTTGTTGTGGATGTGATGCTGTTGGACACGTCGGTACACAACGCGGTCGTTGCGTTGGGCGCAGTGCAAGGTGGTTGAAAGGGTAGATCCGTCTACGGTACGTCCATCGTGTAGAGCAGGTCCCACATGGGGAGGAGGAGGAGGAGGAGGAGGAGGAGGAGGAGGAGGAGGAGGAAGAGGAGGAGAAGGAGGAGGAGGAGCAGGGGGAAGGGGAGGAGGAGCAGTACTCCAAGATGGCACGGACTTCCACCGCAAATCCCAGGAATCCTCCGATAGATCTGTCTTCCCGATGTGCGGCCCTGGAGTGCCCGACCCCTTCCCACCCGGACTGTTGGACACCGTACTTTTGTCCGGTCGCGATCGGTAGCGACCAATCGGCACTCCAAATCGTTCGCGACCGATCCTAGAGTTGAGGCAAAATCGGTCTCGATCGATCTTGCCGGAAACCAAATCTGATGGTCCCGGGGCCGGAGAATGGGAGGATGCGAAGTCCATACAAGTGTTCGGTCTCCGTTTGGGTTTGCTCCTTCTGCACTTGGCCTCTCCTGATAGGGGGCTAAGTGCGTGTTTTTGTTGTTGTTGCAGGGCGATGACGGCCGTCACCGACTTCGGGGGGGGGAAGGATGCCGATGACGTCACGTTTCGCGCCAGCGGCGTCTGGAAATGCTTGGGAATGACCGAGATCGGGTAGCAGCAGCATGTATGTTGCGATCTGGACCACAGCGCCTGTGTAAACCACAGTGCCTGCGTGCACCACAGCGCCTGTGTACACCACACTGCGTGTGTATACAGCAGCCGCGTGCAACACAGCGCCAGTGTGTACCACGGTGCTGGCGTGCACCACAGCGCTTGTGTTCACCACAACGCTTGCGTACACCACAGCAACCGTGTGCAACACAGCACCAGTGAACACCACAGTGCCTGCGTGTACCACAGCACCTGTGTACACCACGGCGCCTGTGTGCGCACCTCAGCAGCCGTGTGCAACAAAGCACCGATGTTGTATATAGACAGTTTGAGGGAATATGTATGGCAAAGTAGATCTCCTGTGGATTACGCAGAAAACATTTGTTTCCTATAGGATTCGGACAGGAATCCGACTGGAAAAAGGAGCGCCGCTGGAATCAACGAGTCCTCCCGAGTTCCCGCGCATGGTCCTAACGCTCCCCATCTGCGTCCAGAAGGCTCCCGCAGAATTGGCCGTCGGAGAACCAAGTGAACTGATTAATAAGACCATTCTGCGGTGCACGCTGAGATGCGCACGTGCGCTATAGCGCCGACCCGCACGACGGGGGGGAGGATGAGCGAGGAGGAAAAGGAGGAGGGGGAGGAGGAAAAGGAGGAGGAGGAGGGAAGGGAGGAGGAGGAGGAGGAGGAAAAGGAGGAGGGGGAGGAGGAAAGAGGAGGAGGAGGACGATCAGGAGGGGGAGAAGGAGGAGGGAGGAGGGAAAAACATCGCATTCTACTATCAGCATTTCCCTTGCGTGGTGTTTAGCTGCCCGCAGCAGATCCTCACCCTGCTTCCACATGTCGTGTGCCCGCAGGTGCTGTGGTGTACACCAGCGCTACGTTGCACGAGGATGCTATGGTGTACAGAGGCGGCGTGGTGTGCACAAGCGCTGCTGTGCACGTAAGCACGATGGTGTACACAGACGCTGTGTTGCACATGGTTGCTGCGGTGTACACATTTGCCGTGGTGTTCACTGGCGCTGTGGTGCACGCAAGCACTGTGGTGTATATTGGCGCTGCGTTGCACACGGCTGTTGCGGTGTACACAGGTGCTGTGGTGCACGCGAGCACTGTGGTGTACACAGGCGCTGTGGTGCGGATCGCCGCCTACATGCTGCTCCTTCTTGGCCTCGGTCACTCCTGGGCATTCCCGGACGCCGCCGGCGCGGAACGTGACGTCATCTGGGGGCGGAGCGCGGGGCTGGTGACGGCCGCTATCCCAGAACATACAAACCAAGTTCCAAGTCCATGCGGAGTGAGTCTATACGGAGTTCTCGGTCTCCGTCTGGGCTTGCTCTTTTGCATTTCGCTTCTCCTGATGGCTACGTCCATGCGAAGAAAGTCCACACGGAGTGCTCGGCCTCCGTCTGGGCTTACTCCGTCTGGACTTCCCAGACATGTGATGTCTGCGCGCCGCTTCGGCCCTGCATTGTTTCATAAGGCGGCGGAGTGGGGGGGGGGCGTGGGGCAAAATCCCGTGCACGTCAAAGTGCTTGAAGTCAATGACGAACGCGCTCCGACAAAATTCCACTGGCATCCCTGGACCCCCTTTTTTTAGGTGGCATCTCTCGAGCTGGATGGATCTGTGGGGGCCCCTTGCTTAGTAGGCCCCGGAAGCGGCAGGGCCGCTTTTGTACGGCTTCCAAAAATAATGTGTTCTGGAAGTGGAAACGGGAAAAATACGACTACGGGATTGGAGCCGCGGGGCCGGAAACGGAAAAAGAACACGGCGACGGAACCGGCAACGAAAACGGCAGAACGGAACCGCTAACAAAAACGGCCTTGTCGTTTCCAGGGTCCCACTGAAGGCTCCGGGTCCCAACATGAGGCGACATCGCCCAGTGTGGAAAAATGGCGCCGCCAGGATCCCAACCCCCCCGACGTCATGATTTTGCTCGCGACGCCAGTCCCCAGAGGTTTCGACCCGTCTCCGGGGCCGGCGTCTCGTCCGGAGTCGTTTTGTTGACGGTCCCGGGGCCCCGCGAGGGCCCTAAAAATCCCGGGGCGGCCAAGAGGGGCGGTGATGATTGTGGGGGGGAGGGGATAGCATGGCGGGGGCCATGCTACCTCTCCAGAGTTCATGGCGCCCTTCCTCCCTTCCTGTTTCAATGCGTCCTGACGTGAGGCCCCTCCTTCTGCCCCCCCCCTTTGTTAATCAAAGCTGTGCGCGGCCCGCTTAGCTTCGACCGGAAGAGGTGCGCTCTCGACCCGCGGATCAAAAAAGTTTCAATGCGTCCCCAGCCCCCCCCCTTCCCCCGGGCCGCGAACGTGCCGCGGGCCATGAGTTGCGCCCCCCCCTCCTGGACGCCCCGATGTCTAAGGGTCCTGTGCCCAGCGAGGGCCTCAAATAGCTTGGCATGGCCCGGACGTGTGCATTTTTCCCACGGCGAGGGCCATCGAGGAGCCTCCTTGATCATTTGGCGAAAAAGCCACGCACGGAACCGAAAAAAGCACAGGGAATGGACGTCCGAGCGATGGCCAGATAGACATAGCAAAACAAAGCGCCCGCCCGGAACGTTGCAGGGCCCGAGGGGGTCTGTGATTTCAAGGCTGCCCTTGTCGCGGCCTCCTGGATTTGCAAGTCGGCCGTGTACCCCTTACAGGGGGAACGCTCAAAAATAGTCAAAAAGAAGTATGGGGATTTGTTTTCTACCATTTTTGTCAATCTTGGAATATCTTGTATGTTTACCTAACAGCGAAGACTGATAGGTTTCTAGTGGGGTCAAAATTGAGCATCATGACTCCTCAGGGGGGTCGGGGCGGGACCCGGGGCGGGACCCGGCGCGGCTGCCGTCGAAGCCCAAATCGCTTGGGACATCCTCGCAAAATCGCTCTTGGCGCTGCTAGAACTCCATTCCCGGCGTACAGTTTGGATGCCCGGAGCTAACTGTAGGCCACTTCGTGCTCTTCGACTTCCCAGAACTCCATTCCCGGCGTACATTTTGGATGCCCGGAGCCAACTGTAGGCCACTTCGTGGTCTTCGAGTTCCCAGAACTCCATTTTTTCCCGGTACCCCCCCCCCCCCACCCCCCCCCCCCACCCCCTCACCTCGCACCCCCCCCCAGGGACAAATTTTGGATGCCCGGAGCCAACCTGTAGGCCTTCCGTGGTCTTCGAGTCCCTGAACTCCATTCCCGGGCCACATTTTGGATGCCTGGAGCCAACTGTAGGCCACTTCGTGCTCTTCAAGTTCCCAGAACTCCATTCCTGGGCATGATTTTGAATGCCCGGAGCCAACTGTAGGCCACTTCGTGTTCTTCTAGTTTCCAGAACTCCATTCCTGGGCCACATTTTGAATGCTGAGGCAGGCTGATGCTGCGGCCGAGGCAGGCTGAGGCTGAGGCAGGCTGAGGCTGAGGCCGAGGCTGAAGGCAGAATGAGGCTGAGGCTGAAGCAGACTGAGGCTGAGGCTGAGGCAGGCTGAGGCTGAGGCTGAAGCAGGCTGATGCTGAGGCAGGCTGAGGCTGAGGCTGAGGCTGATGCAGGCTGAGGCTGAGGCAGGCTGAGGCTGAGGCCGAGGCTGAAGGCAGACTGAGGCTGAGGCTGAAGCAGGCTGAGGCTGAGGCTGAGGCAGGCTGAGGCTGAGGCTGAGGCTGAGGCTGAGGCAGGCTGAGGCTGAGGCTGTGACTGCGACTGCCGTTGCCACTGCGACTGTCATCGCGAATGCGGCTACGACTGCGAGAACAGCAGAATTCTACAATTGGATTCTCATCTGAATCTGAAGGGGAATGCTTCCAGATATGCTCCTACACATCGCTGTTAGGTTGCTTTGCCGGGATAATTTTTAACACTCTTTCAAAACCCGCATGTAGGAGGACATGCCAGACCTAATCCTAGATGGAGTCGGAGAAGATGGGGTCGGAGGTTCGCGCCGCATCGCCGATGCATCGCCGATGCAGCTCCCTGTGGAGCCCGATTTGCTTAGCGTCAACGTCGCCGATGCATCGCCTACGCCGACTATGCATCGCCGGCGCATCGCCGATGCATCACCGATGCATCGCCGATGCATCGCCGATGTATTGGGGATGCGGCGCGATTCCCCGACCCCATCTAGGAGGCTTCTACATTGTCTGCGGAAGACTCGTGTGCACCGCAACGTACTGGCGTCTCACGAGGCGTCTCCGATCCTCGACCCGGGAATGCCCTACGGTGCACAATTCGTCGGCCGCCCACAGCCAACAGACTATGCACCTACCGCGGAGCATGACAGTACCTTGCTTGGGCCTGAAGGGAGTCTAAACAAGGTACTGTCATGCTCATTACTGCCGCAAACTCATGCTTGGAGACGGTGCCGCCTCAAAATGCCCTGGATGCGAGATGTTGATCTTGGTGATCTTATTTTGGCGACGGTGCCCTTGATCCACTGAAAGCCCTCGGTTCGCTGTCGAGATTTCGAGAGGGACTGGCAAGGGGCCCCAAATGACCCGGCCCTTTCCCTAGGCCCGCGGAAGCCGAAGACGGCCAAGAACCTTCCGTTGTGGCTTGTGCCGCGAATCGAGCAGGTTTGGGGCCCTGGGAGGGCCCCGCACAACAAACTGAGCGTCACGTGGACGACGATCAAAAACGGGTCTTACGAGAGATGACTCAGAGACCCTACGCGGTGGCTTACGCGGGCCGCCGGCGCGGCACGCTACTTTGGAGACCAGGGGCGCTTACGCGCGACCTTATGCGGGCAGCTTGCGCGCCGATGTCGGCGCAGACGACCCCGTTTTCTGGCGTCGCTCATGTAAGAAAGTCGGAGTACGGTGCACGGGTGCCGTTCTTGTACCCTGGTCGCCTTTCTGAAACGGCGTCCTTCGTTGAACTGTCCGGCGTTTATGGAACGGCCGATCGTTCAAGGTCGAAGGATCCCCGCGGTGTCAGGCACCAGCGCCGGGGTCGACGCGACGCGAACCTGCCTTAGCCAAGCCACGCGAATCGCGATAAAGGAGGGGTGCGGAGCATGGGTACCGTTCTCGTGCAGGCAACTTTCAGGAGGGGAAAAAACACAGGCACAATTAATTGACAATTCCTAAGAAAATGTGGGAAATTTATGCTAACGGAGTTCCCCACATAAAGATGTTACGGGGTTCCATTGCTTCTTGTCTGCGCTCTGGTGGGGCCTCCCTGGAGTGGCGGGAGGGGCACGAAACCTGATAAATAATATGGTGTGCGAACACCCTGCCCGCTCTGGTGGGGCCTCCCTGGAGGGGTGGGAGGGGCACGAAACCTGATAAATAACATGGTGTACGGATACCCTGCCCGCTCTGGTGGGGCCTCCCTGGAGGGGTGGGAGGGGCACGACACCTGATAAATAATATGGTGTGCGAATACCCTGCCCGCTCTGGTGGGGCCTCCCTGGAGGGGCGGGAACGGCACGAAACCTAATAATAAAATATGGCGTGCGAATACCCTGCCCGCTCTGGCGGGGCCTCCCTGGAGTAGCGGGAGGGGCACGAAACCTGATAAATAATATGGTGTGCGAACACCCTGCCCGCTCTGGTGGGGCCTCCCTGGAGGGGTGGGAGGGGCATGAAACCTGATAAATCATATGGTGTGCGAATACCCTGCCCGCTCTGGCGGGGCCTCCCTGGAATGTTGGGAGGGGCGCGAAACCTGATAAATAACATGGTGTGTGGATACCCTGCCCGCTCTGGTGGGGCCTCCCTGGAGGGGGGGAGGGGCACGAAACTTGATAAATAATATGGTGTGCGAATACCCTGCCCGCTCTGGTGGGGCCTCCCTGGAGGGGTGGGAGGGGCACGAAACCAGATAAATAACATGGTGTGCGAATACCCAGCTCGCTCAGGCGGGGCCTCCCTGGAGAGGTGGGAGGGGCACGACACCTGATAAATAACATGGTGTGTGAATACCTTGCTTGCTCAGGCTGGGCCTCCCTGGAGGGGTGGGAGAGGCACGAAAACTTATAAATAACATTGTGTGCGAATACCCTGCTCGCTCAGGCGGGGCCTCCCTGGAGGGCTGGGATGGGCAGGATACCTGATACATAACATGGTGTGCGAACACCCTTCCCGCTCTGGTGGGGCCTCCCTGGAGGGGTAGGAGGGGCACGAAACTTGATAAATAGCATGGTGTGCGAATACCCTGCTCGCTCAGGCGGGCCCTCCCTGGAGGGATGGGTGGGGCAGGAAACCTGATAAATATCATGGTGTGCGAATACCCTGATCGCTCAGGCGGGGACTCCCTGGAGGGGTGGGAGGGGCACGAAACTTGATAAATAACATGGTGTGCGGATACCCTGCTCTCTCAGGCGGGGCCTCCCTGGAGAGGTGGGAGGGGCACGAAACCGGATAAATAACATGGTGTGCGAATACCCTGCTCGCTCAGGCGGGGCCCCCTGGAGGGGTGGGAGGGGCACGAAACCGATAAATAAAATGGTGTGCGAATACCCTGCTCGCTCAGGCGGGGCCCCTCTGGAGGGGTGGGAGGGGCACGAAACCTGATAAATAACATGGTGTGCGAATACCCTGCCCGCTCAGGCGGGTCCTCCCCGGAGGGGTGGGAGGGGCACGAAACTGATAAATAACATGGTGTGCGAATACCCTGCTCGCTCAGGCGGGGGCCTCCCTGGAGGGGTGGGAGGGGCACGAAACCTGATAAATAACATGGTGGTGCGAATACCTGCTCGCTCAGGCGGGGCCTCCCTGGAGGGGTGGGAGGGGCACGAAACCTGATAAATAACATGGTGTGCGAATACCCTGCCTCGCTCAGGCGGGGCCTCCCTGGAGGGGTGGGAGGGGCACGAAACCTGATAAATAACATGGTGTGCGAATACCCTGCTCGCTCAGGCGGGGCCTCCCTGGAGGGGTGGGAGGGGCACGAAACCTGATAAATAACATGGTGTGCGAATACCCTGCTCGCTCAGGCGGGGCCTCCCTGGAGGGGTGGGAGGGGCACGAAACCTGATAAATAACATGGTGTGAGGAAAGGCATGGTATGGTATGGGATGGTGGATGCATGGTATGGTATGGTAAGGTATGGTATGGAGTGGCATGGTATTGGTATGGTATGATACAGTATGGGATGGTGGAGGAAGCGGGAGGAGGAGGAGGAGGAGGAGGAGGAGGAGGAGGAGGAGGAGGAGGAGGAGGAGAGGATGTTCTGGGAAAACAAGAACCCCACTCAGGATGTGGGGAAATATGGGAAGTGGCGGGGAAGAGAAAACCCCATAACATATGGGAAACTATGGGGAATCCTGTTATCTGTGTTCACTTATTTGTGTGTCCCAGGGCCCCTTCAAACGTTGAGAGCAAGGATGAGCGACTGTCCGAGGCCACCCCTGCATCCTTTCCCTCCGGCTCATCCTCGGCCCCTCTCGCGGGCCGCGCCCCGCTCGAAGAGTGTTGGCATGGCCTTCCAGGGCCCTTGCATCCCTGACTGTCTTTGCAATCAGTATCTCTGGGGAGGGGAGGAGGAGGAGGGAGGAGGGAGGAGAGGAGGAGGAGGAGGAGGAGAGGAGGAGGAGGAGGAGAGGAGGGGGGAGGAGTAGGAGGAGGAGGGGAGGGAGGAGGAGAGGAGGGGAGGAGGAGGAGGAGGAGGAGGAGGAGAGGGGAGGAAGGAGGAGGAGGAGGAGGAGGTCGAGGAGGAGGAGGAGGAGGAGGAGGGGAGGAGGAGAAGGAGGAGGAGAGGAGGAGGAGGAAGGAGGAGGAGGAAAGGAGGAGGAGGAGGGAGAGGAGAGAGGGAGGTCGAGGAGGGGGAGGAGGAGAGGATGAGGAGGTGGAATGAGGGAGGAGGAGGAGGAGGACCTGAGGAGGAGGGGAAGGAGGAGCTCCTTGCTAGAACTGTTGATTGTCCCGTCCGTGGACATCCTTGCTATCCGTGCTGACTGTGCCCTGGGCGCCTCGATACCCGCCTCCGCCCCGCAGCCCGCCCGCCTCCGCAGGGGACGCGGCCGTGGACGAGCTGCCCGACGCCGCCGTGGCGCCCTGCGCCGCCCACCGCGGCGCCGGCTCGGTCGCTCCCTGCCAGGGGGGGCGTCTGTCTGCGGCCGCTGGCGAGCCCGACGCCTGCGAGCCCGATCGGCGCTGAGGTGTTTCTCGAGGAAGAAAAATAACACGCCATAGGCACAAACTTTTGACTCTGAGCCCCCCCGGCGGCGCCTCTGGTGCCGCCTCTGGCGCGGTCCGCACGCCGGGGAGGGGGGGTCCAGCGCAGATCCAAGAAATCCGCGCGGAGCGCCTAGAGTTTGTTTGTATGGCGTGTTTTCTTTGCCGAATTAATCCGCCTGGAATCGGACGGGGCTGGGACGAGGGTAAATCCGTTCTGGCGCGTGCCTCGACGCTCTCAGAGCCTTCCAGAACGCTCTGAGAAGGCAGCGGCCTGAGACCTCGCCGAACCATTTGAAAATCTGTTAACATAGATTGGGAGGGGCATCCTCCCCGAAGGGATGGTTTTTGGAAGGGGACAGAAGAACTCGTTAGACCACCTCGGGCCGCGTTGACGCGACGGCGACGTTGGCGCGTTGACGCGGCAGCGACGTTGACGCGTTGTGCGGCAGAATGCAGTCGGTTTGTGCCGCGTTGACGCGGCGGCGACCCGGCCACGGGCGTTCCAGGCTGAACGCCGTTGGTGGCCTTAAACCGTTCGATGTTTCGGGGGCAGCCAGGAGGGTGGTGATGACTAGGGGGGTGGATATCATGGCGTCGGCCATGATAGTTCCTCAGAGTTCACGGCGCCTCTTCTTATTTCGTCACGTCCTTGGTCTCCCCTGGGCCGCGCACATGCCGCCCGCCATGATTTGCGGCCCTCCCTCTTGGACGCCCCCCTCTTGGCCGCCCCCAAATGTTGAACGACCTCGCGATCGGCAAGCGCCGACCGTTCAAGGCTGAAGGATCCGCGCGGTGTCCTGGACCAGCGCCGACGTCATCGCGGCGAGCCTGTCGCAGCCGACGCTCGCTGGCGCGACGCGGGCCGGCGTGCCCGTCCGGCCGGGGCTGCGCGTGGGCCCGCGGCGTGGACGTGGTTGTTCCGAGGGGCCGCGTGCCCCGTTTGCTGGCCCCCCCAGGCCGAGCCACGTCCGGCTGGGCCACGTGTGGGGGGGCCATGCCCGGGGTTTTGGAGGCCTCTTGGGCCGTCTTGGGGCCCTCTTTGGGATCGTCTTGGGGGCCTCTTGGGCAGTTCCGGGGCCCTCTTGGAGGCCTCCAGGGCGATTCGGGGGCGATCTTTGGGGGCTCTTGGGCCGTCTCGGGCCCTCGGAAGGCCGAACAGAAGCTAATGCCAAAAACCTTGAGAACCATATGGACAATCAATTAGTTTGGACTCTCCGGGCCTTCCTGGAGACCCTCTTGGAGGCCTCTTGGGCCGTCTTGGAGACCTCTTGGGGGCCTCTTGGGGCGTCTTGGGCCATCTTCGAGCCATGTTGAGCCGTCTTGGTGGCCTCCTGACCCGTCTGACGCCCTCGGAAGCCGTCTTGGAGGCCTCTTTGGGCCGACTGGGGACTCTCTTTGGGCGCTTCAGGACCGTCCTGGAGACCATCTAGGGCATCTTGGAGGCCTCTTGGGCCGTCTTGGGGCCCTCTTGGGGCCGTCTTGAGGGCCTCTTGGGCCGTTATAGAGCCATCTTGGAGGCCTCTTGGGCGATCATGGGGTGACCTTCGGGCACTCTTGGGCCATCTTGGGCCGTCGGAAAGCCGAAGAAGCGCAACAGCCAACAACCTCCAAAAACCAAAGGACAATCAATGATTTTGACCTCTTCGGGCCTTCCTGGAGGGCATCTTGGAGGCCTCTTGGGCCATCCTGGAGGCCTCTTGGGAGCCTCTTGGGCCATCTTGGGTCGTCTTAGTGGCATCTTGTGGCCATCTTAGCCCTCTTGGAGGCCATCCTGGCCATCTTCGAGGCATCTCGGCCATCTTGGACCATCTTGGCGATCTTATTGAGCATCTTGAGCCGTCTTGGGAGAATCTTTCTGAGAATTGGGCGGCTTCCGTGTGGCTGGTGGGACGGGCCAGAGCCCCAGGGGAGAGTTCGTTTGGAAAAAGAGCCGAAACCAAAACCAGTAGGGTCTAGCACGCCGGGCACCCCTATGGCAAGCCAACAAGGGCGGCGGATCGAAGACGCCTGCGGCGAATCACCGCCGCCCCTTGCCTTTCTGAAAGCGCCTATGTTGCAGAACTTTGGGTTAGAGCTTGGCCAAGCTATCTGACCACGTGTTCCCCGAGTCGGTTTGGAAGGCCTTCGGGGAGCACGTGGGGGAGGAGGAAGAGGAGGAGGAGGGGGAGGAAAAAGGAGAGGGAGGAGGAGGCCTCTTGAGAGCCTCTTGAGGCACTCTTGAGCTCTATTGGGCCATTTGGGCGGTCTTGGCGGCATCTTGGGACCGTCTTGGAGGCCATATTGGGATTATCTTGGGGCCTCTTGGGGCCATCTTGACCGTCTTGGATTCTTCTCTGAGGCCATCTTGGTCAATATTGGGCGTCTTGGGACCGTCTTGGAGGCTATCTTGGCCGTTTTGGAAGGATTTGTCGTGGACTTTGAGATCCTGTATGGTCTCTTCCCGGAACTCGACCAGAGGCCCCAGAATCCGCAGCCCAGGCGACCAGGAATCGCGAGAACCCCAGACCTCCCAGATTTTTGGTTGAAGGAAAAATGAAACTTCAAAATGTTTGAAACCACTCCTTTCAAACATAAATTTCCAGGGGGGAGCAGAATCCATAACCCAGGCGACCAGGAATCCTAGGAACCCTGAAAACCGCAAAGGTGAATGGCAACGATGAGGAGGAGGGGTGGGACGAGGAGGAGGAGGAGGAGGAAGAAGGAGAAGAGGAGAAGGAGGAGGAGGAGGAAGAGGAGGAGGAGGAGGAGGAGGAGGAGGAGGAGAGAGGAGAGGAGGAGGAGGGGGGGGAGGACGAGGACGAGGAAGATGAGGCGGAGGAAAAGTCTTGGTTGTTCCGCGATTCCATTGAATCCCCCAGGTCCGGGGAGGAGGAGAGTCATGGAAGGATGAGGAGGGAAGAGGGGAGGAGGAGGAGGAGGAGGAGGAGGAGGAGGAGGAGGAGGAGGAGGAGGAGGAGGAGGAGCAGGGAGGAGGGTCGTTCAGGCCTCGAGCTGACATCCCGTCGTGGTCGCACGTCCGGGGCGGCCCTGGCTGGGCGCGGCAGTGGTGTGCAGGTGCTTTCGGCGCACCGGGCAGCCAGCTACGCGTGGCGTGGCTGGCCTTGGCGAGGACTGGGTACAGTCGGGGCCCTGAAGAAGGAACCCTTTTCGTTCCGGAGAGGCTCCGCGTTCCTTAAGTGTTTCGCAGCTTGCCTCAGGTTTTCCTTATGAAATCGAAGTTTAACTCATGGAAAAAAGCGGCCTCGTTCCTTATTTTGAGTTCCTTAGGTCAACGCCCCGACTGTACACGGGCGTTGGCAAAAACAAATTTTCGACTGCGCCGACATTGGCGCGTAAGCTGCCCGCGCGTGGTCGCGCGTGCGTGCCTTCGTCTTCAGTGTGGCGTGCCGCGCTGGAGGCCCGCGTGAGCCGCCGCGTAAGGGCGCTATGCCGTCTTGCGTAAGACCCGCTTGTTTGCTCGTCGTTCACATGTGGCCAGACGTCGTTCCAGCGCTCGACCCTTCCATGGCGGGACCGCTGGGCTCATAGGCAGTGTGTATCCACCGCGTGGCATCCGAGGGTTCCCCGAGTGTGAATCCAGCCATGTGCGCCTCCAGCTCCCTGGGAGGTCATGGCCTGCGCTGGGACCCCGCCGCAGTCGCCGGAGCCCGGCTGGGTGGACTGGGACCTCGTCCGGCGCGGGCAGGCCCTGTGGCTGGAGAACCTCGGCCGGGCATTCCTGGCGCTCACCGCCGCCCTCGTGCAGGGCTTCACCATCGCCCGGTTTGCAGAGGTGCTTCACCACGCCGGCTACGCGCAGAGCCCCTTGAATTCGAACCGGAGGCACCAGGGAATAACTACCAGTGCCAAGTTGCATGCAGTGGAAACCATGCCAAGAAACACCCTGCGTGCATCCAGGGTGCTCTGGGTTTCTTGGGTTTGGATATTTCTGCTATGTAAAGCGCGACGCTCCCGCACTGAAAATCAATGCGCGTCCTGGGTCTCAGGGTTGGGTTTCTTGTGGAAGGTTTGTTGTGGTTGAGCCCCTACTGTACAAGCAGTTCCTCTATCCAGTGGCCTTCGGCTATCCTGCCACCGGGCCTGGGTTGTGGGTCAGAGTCCTCAGGCATGCTTCTCGGGGTCTCTTCGGCGCGCGCTCGGGGGCCTCTTGAGGGCAGTTTGGAGCCTCTCAGGAGCCTCCTGGGGGCCTCTGGGGGCCTTCCGGGGGCCCGTTGGCGGCATCCTAGGGGCCTCTCGGGGCCAAGGGCTCGAACTGTTCGTTTGGTTCCCCCGTCTGAGCTCCCTCTGAAAGCCGCTTTCCGGGCCGGCCGTGTTGGAGGCCTCCAGGGCCGGGCCGTCCTGGGAGCCTCTTGGAGGCCTCTTTGGCAGTCTTGTGGCGATCTTGAGGACCTTTTGGGTCTCTTGGGCCGTCTTGGAGCTTCGGGAAGCCGAACAGGCGAGAACGCCCAAATCCGTGAGACAGCTGAAGAATATCGGAAATGGTTGCCCTTTGGGCTCTCTGAGGAGGCCTCTCTGAGGCCTCTTGGGGCGTCTTGGGTGAACCTTGGGCCGTCTTGAGGTCATCTTGGGCGTCTTGGAGCGATCTTTCGGCGACTCGGGGCCCTCTCGGATCGTCTTGGGGGCCTGTTGGGGCCCTCTTGGCCTAACTTTGAGCGTTGCTGTGACCGAAGATGTTGTGCGACAAGACGCGGGAAGCCCCGGGAGACAGGCCGGGAACTCCGGGAATGACTTGGGGCTAAGGAGACACGTCCACGTTGTGCAGGGGCACGGTGGCGGAGATATGCATATACATAAAGAATGAAGAAGGATGATCCAGCACGCCTTGCTGCCGCGCCGGCGCCCCCCAGAGGGCCAGAGACGGCATCAACACGGCAGAAGGCAGCTCAAATTCGGCCAAAGACGACCCAAAGATGGCCGCAAGACGGCGAGGACCCCTAGAGGCTCCCATGACACACATTATTGCTTCTGGCGGTTCGCCGTCTTGGTGTTCAGAACTTCCAAGATCACAGTTACTTCCACGGCCCAAAAAAGACCACAGGATCGCCCCAAGATGGCCCAACTGCCGCCCAAGAAGGCCTCGAGAGGGGGCCAAGACGGCCCGAGAGAGGCTGAAGACTTGAAGACAGTCCGAGAGGGCCCGAATCCGCCCCGAGAGGGCCGCAGAGGACGCCCCGAGAGGGCCCCAGAGGAGCTCCAAACAAAACAGCCCAAGAGAGCCCCACGACAGCCAACGAAGGCCCCCAGACCGCGCCAAGGCAGCCCTTGCGGACCCTCACCGCGCCATAGAGGGGCCCAAGGCATCCTGAAGACGGCGCGACACGGCTCTGGGAGAACTTTAGACAGGCACATTCGCAATCCGGGATCATCAATGAGTAAGGTCAGAGGATCAATCGAATTGCGTCTGTGCGTACATGTATGTTGAGATATAACATATACGCACACGACCACTCTTCAAGTGATAAGAGGTTTGGGGGGGGGGACGAACTGATTACAGCTGCGATGAGACACCATCGGGACACCCTGGGGACAAATATTGGCCACCATCTGGACACCATCGGGACACCATTATGATCCATCCCTCCAGTACGTGGCTGTCGATCTCACTATCGGCCTCCCTGCAGGCCTCGCTATCGATCTCGCTACCGACCCCGCTATCGATCTCACTACCGATCTCACTACTTGTTGATCAATCTCACTATCGGTCTTACCGTCGATCTCACTATCGGCCTCCAAGGCCGCCACGGGACACCGCGAGACACTGCGCCACGGGACCCCACGGGACACCGCATCGGTCTCAGTATCCATCGACCTCACCGTCGATCTCACTTTCGATCGCACCATCAGTCCCACGATCGATCTCACTACTATTGATCTCAATCAATCGATCTCACGATCGATCGCACTATCGATCTCACTACCGACCTCAACGGACCACCACGGAAACCGTGGGACACTGCGCGGCGCCACGGGACACCTCAGGACACCGGAGGGATACCCCCGCGGGCCACCGCCGGTCAACTTGGGGGCGGAGAGTCATTGAGCTCGGGCTCGCCCTAGCGGGGGCGGGATCAGTCTTCTCGCCCGCCCGCCCAGCTTCGTCTCGCCCGCACGCACGGCAGGACACCGAAACCGATGTCCCGACGGGGGGATCTAATTATGTTTTCTTGCGATCTCATTCGCCAGCTTCCGATATACACATGTTTATATATCGGCTTCTCGGTGCGCAGAGCCTCCGAGATTGCGCAAGACGCTCCACATACGTACAAGATGACAGGGGACGATACACCCAAGAGGGCACCTGGCGTCGCTCAAGACGGTCCGAGAAGTGCTTGAACATGGCATGGCCAAGGCTGCTGCAGGTGTGTACAGCAAGCGCGGCCCTCCAGGGTCCCTTTATGGTCTGATCGACCGAGTGATCCGTCTCGACATCAATTCCGGCTGGTTCGATACGTTTCTATTCCGACGATCCGATGTGCCCCAGTGATTGCATAGCGTCGTTGTGCATCCTGGCGCAGCCGATCCTATTCGATTTTGACCCTTGTGCGGATGCAGCGCGAGACGACGCGCATTGCGCATTCCGATTCCAATCGATCGATTTCGATCGATTGGAATCGGAATGCGCGTGCCCATGCACGCGCATTGCGCATTTCGATTTACCGATCCAATGCTGACTGGTTTTGCCCTCTTGAGGTACGCCGCCACGGCATTCTTTATCACGGACTGGTTCCGGTATCCCCTCGACGACCCGGAGTCCTTCGCGCGGAGGGGCATCCACACGGTGCGGTGCATGCACAGCTACGCGCGGCGCAAGAGCGCATGGGGGAGGAGGGGGTCGAGGAGGAGTGGGGCGACGTACAGAGTCGAGGAGGAGGAGGTCGAGGAGGTCGAGGAGGAGGAGGAGGTCGAGGAGGTCGAGGGGGAGGAGGTCGAGGAGGAGGCACCACGTTCGAAGAGAGGGAGAGCGGCAAAGAGCTGCTGGAGGTCCGCGCGGCTGCTTCCTGGTCGGCGCTCCGCCCCCTCCGGGCGCCGGCCCAGGGAGCCCGCCCGCGCGGGGATCCCCACGAGCTCGTGCGTGTGCGGTTGTCTCCGTGTCTGCGGAGAGGCGGGGCGACGCTTTCTGGGCGCACCACGGGAGGATGGTGGCCCGGGGGCAACCCTGCGGAGATCGGGGTCGGCTCGAGACGAGCCCCCAGAGTGTGCGCCTTCGGATTTTGTTTCAGTCGCAGGTGCCTGCCTTGGCGGAGGCGTTTTTTTGGATTTGCCTACTAAAGGGGAGGAGCATGAGGATGCGCACGAGGAGGGCGGAGGAGGGGAGGAGGAGCAGGGGGAGGAGGGTGTCCGTTGTCTCTGTGTCCGTGGAGAGGCGGGGCGACGCACTAACGCTTTTTGGCAGTAATAGACACCCGATCGAGCTGAGATTGAGACGACGAGCGGCAACAAGATCGAGTATCATGGGGAAAAATATTGGTGCTCAAACGAATTGTTGAGTTTCGAGAACATAAGTTTCAACCGAGCAAAAGTCAGCAACAAGTCCGTCGAGATGTTTCTTGCCAACTAGCTGGGCGCACCACGGGAGGATGGTAGCCCAGGGGCAACCCTGCGGAGATCGGAGTCGGCTCGAGACGAGCCCCCAGAGTATTTGCCAGCCTCGAACGTATCCCTATCCCTAAGATTGACACGCCAGAAGGCGATGACAATCTTAGGGATTCGCCCTGAAAAAATTATCCTGGCGAAAGACCCAACCATATGCAGTTACGAGTGCCGCAATTGTGAGTACCTTCTTCGGTGGCGCTCCCTATGGGGCCAGGCCACACGCCGCGATGGTTCGGATTCTTTGCAATGGATGGCTTCACAGCTAAGTGGACTCAACAAGCATGGACAATGATGATGCGCGCGGGCAACAAAGAGAAGGAAGCGAGGAGGAGGGAAAGGAGGAGGAGGGGGAGGGGACCCTCTCTCCCGTTCGCCTGTGGGGCCGCGAGCATGACGCCGACGGCGGCGCCGACGGCGGCGACGGCGGCATCGGCGGCGGCGACAGCGGCCAGGGCGGTCCTTCTTCCTCCTCCTCCTGCTCCTCCTCCTCCTCCTCTTCCTCCTCCTCCTCCTCCTCCTCCTCCTCCTCCTCCTCCTCCTCCTCCTCCTCCTCCTCCTCCCTCCCTATGGGACCACGAAACGTGTGAGGGGTGTGCCAAAGTGGGTATGCGGCGCCATGTGGAGTGCGCCATTTGGACCTGAGATGGAGCTCCCTGTGGGGCCACGAAACGTGTGAAGGGGTGCCATGCGAACTGCATCACTGGGACCTTAGGTGCAGCTCCCTGAGGGGCCACGAAACGTGTGAGGGGTGTGCCAAAAAGGGGCGGTGGCGCCATGCGAGCTGCGCCACTTGGACCTCCGGTGGAGCTCCCTGAGGGGCCACGAAACGTGTGAGGGGTGTGCCAAAATGGGGCGGTGGCGCCATGCGAGCTGCGCCACTTGGACCGTAAATGGAGCTCCCTATGGGGCCACGAGGCGTGTGAGGGGTGTGCCAAAAAGGGGCGGTGGCGCCATGCGAGCTGCGCCACGTGGACCTTGGGTGGAGCTCCCTATGGGGCCACGAAACGTGTGAGGGGTGTGCCAAAAGGAGCTCCCTGAGGGGCCACGAAATCTGTGAGGGGTGTGCCAAAATGGGGCGGTGGCGCCATGCGAGCTGCGCCACTTGGACCTCAGGTGGAGCTCCCTGAGGGGCCTCGAAACGTGTGAGGGGTGTGCCAAAATGGGGCGGTGGCGCCATGCGAGCTGCGCCACTTGGACCGTAAATGGAGCTCCCTATGGGGCCACGAAACGTGTGAGGGGTGTGCGAAAAAGGGACGGTGGCGCCATGCGAGCTGCGCCACGTGGACCTTAGGTGGAGCTCTCATGCACCAATGGGACCTTAGGGCAGCTCCCCTGAGGGCCACGAAACGTGTGAGGTGTG